TTTTTTTTTTTGTTTTTTTGAATGTCCAGAGGACCAGATTGAACTTTTTTTTAGATATAACACTATAACACTATAGTTTTATATTGATATAGTCTCAACTTGTATCGCAAAAAACATTCTCTATATTTTTAAAATATTGAGATATCGTCCAGCTCTATGTCAGCCTCACAGACAGAAACTGGAAATTGGTTCCACAAAAGAGGAGCCTGATAACTGAAAGTTCTGCCTCCCATTCTGTTTTTAGAAACTCTAGGAACCACAAGTAAGCCAGCAATCTGAGAGTGAAGTGCTCTGTTAGGAAAATATGGAACAATAAGATCTGTAATATAAGATGGAGCCAGGTTGTTGAGAGCTTTGTTGGTTAGAAGTAAGATTTTGAATAGAGCTCAGAACTGATGCTTGGTTTCGTTGGCCCATGCAGAGGTGTTCTGGACCCCCTCCACTTCAGATTCAAACTTCCTAGTGTGGCTCGGTCCAGTTTTCCTCTCCTAAAACAAATCATAATCACCCTCTTCATCAACAAAGTCCTCACTGTCTGAGTCTTGGCCTGTCACAATAACAAATTTTGTTGGGTGATTGTCTCAGAAATTATTGCGATAAACGATAATATTGTTTAAAATTTAACAATAATTGTCACATTTTAGAAGAAATGTTAATTTGTTTGCAGTGTAGTACTTTTTTTGACCACCTGATGGCAGTATAAGACTGTTTGAACCCAAGGATGAATAACAAAGTCCATGCCCAAGGATGAATAGTTGAACAGCTTGTCTCTAAGAAAAATGGGAGGGAGGGCCCTTGACGTGACATGGCGGACGCTCGGTCATTTGAGCTCTTTACCATAGCATTTTTCACACAAAGCATTTAATAAAAAAATCAGTAAACAAGTTCTCAGCTTCTTTTTGTGGAGAAAACAACTTTTTATACAGGCTCTCATCGAGGTAGCAGCTTCGGTTTCTCCTCCCGTTTTTCCTTTTTCCTGCTCTACTCTGTGTGTCTGAAGCGCCTGGGTCTCATCTCCCGAACATAAATTAAGAAGATTATGGATTTGGTATCGTGGGCGTTCAACTCTATTTACAAGATTTTTTCATCAAAACGACAAGGTCCTGGGGAACTGGCGTGTCCAGCTGAGACTCACGCTGTGGGGTACGTCATGGATTCGTGGGGAGTGTGGCAGATGATGCCGCCTCCTCTCATGAGGATGTTGAAGACGTTTATATATTTTGATTTATGATATCAGAGACACTGCTTTTTGTTATCGGCAGGGCTCTGTTTTATCGACTTTTGAAAAAGACATCGGCAGCAATTTCGGCCATGGAAAAGCTTCCGAGTCAGTGTGAATGTCTGGTCCTCGCTGTGGGAACTTTAAATCGTTTGGTCTACGAGCTTAACAGTAAGGTGGAGGCTATTGAGAATCGCAGGCCACCTGCGGCTTCTGGTTCTCGTCAGCGTGGTGGGTTTGACCTTGAAGGAGACTCATAGCATGGATCAGTGGAATGGAATCCCACAATTAAGTATTTTCGGAATCAGAACGCCCAGATGGATTCAAGGCTGAAGAAAAAAATCTGTCTGCCTGAAGAAAAAACAAAAATCAAGCTTATCTGAATCAGATTCCCAACGGCCTCGGAGACGGGCCGACTAACAAATTTCTCCTGGGACATGAGTACCCAAGGACAAAAGCTTCATCTATTCCCCCCCCCCGAGAACTTTCTGTGCAAGCTTATCAGAACTGGTGGCTGGAACATCTTCAGAAACTGTGGCTGATCTGAAAAAACGCTCATGGACAAATCTCAACACCTCGATGTCAAATGCAAATGTAATCATGTTTTAATTGTGCTGCTGGTAGAGTTTTTTTATGTCTCAAATCGTGTCCTGATAGACAAGATGTGAAAGATCTTTTTTTGTAATACCACTATCTACCCTCATGTTTCTCCCCCATTTCCTATCTAAGATTATTATCTGATAAAAATAAAATGGCCACGCTCTCCTGTAGTTGCAGCTTCGTTCACTCCGCCCATATTTTGGACGACTGTACGTACATATTTGCGTTGTACCTCGGTGTAATTCCAATAAAGTTTATTCTGATTCTGAAAAGCACGGGTTTCAACTGTGAATTTTGGAGCTTGACAAGACGGAAGTTTATCCCCGAGGTCGGCCTGTTAGCTTAGCTTTTAGCTTAACTTCTCAGCTTAGCTGCTTTTAATGATCCAAAAACTTGATTTTGGACAGTCAAAACAGATTTTAAAGAAAAAAGAGAAAGGGAGGTGTCTGTGACGAGCACCGGAGTTGAGCCTTTTTTATCCAGTGTCTTCAGTAGAAAGAGAGACACGAAGAAACAATAAAGCCAATAAATTAAAATGAGGTTGATAAATTTCATTCATCATGTGACTAATTGATTTATTGTTTATTGCGACAGGCCTATCTGAGTCAGACTGTTTTCTCCTTCATGATCCTCTCCTCTGTCTGAGAGGTTCTGACTCAGCGGTTCCGTCCTCCTGTGGAGGGTCTGCAGCTCCTCACATTAAAAAATGATCTCATTATTTTGACTCAAACACACTAGACTAAACTAAATGCTAAACTACACCCTAACTATAAAACCCAAACACGCTAAATGTCTTTAATCTCTAAAACCTCGTGACTCCTGCTCTCGCTGTGACTTTATCGCTCGCCGAATCCCATTCAATTTCCACATCTTTTCTTCTTCCTGTAGATTGTTTGGTGCTTGACAAATAACTTGGATTCTCTGTCACAAAGGAGAGGTGGCAGTTGTTCATCTGTTTGACGGTGGTTGGAGGCGAAAGTGGAGGGTGATGGTGTTTTGTCCCTGAGACGGTATCTTTGTCACAGCCTCTCGCTCTGATGCACTTCAGATAAGACGATAGTTTTCAGAAAAAAATGTGGCGTGGATTATTCGTCAAAACTCTGGTTTTACTTGGCCCATAAACACGATTTAAAAAATGGTGTGTAGGTTAAAGTCTTTACGTTTGACATAAATTAAAATGGAGTCTCTGAGAGGCTGTGTCTTTCCCACTAGAGAAAATAAAATCGGTCATGTGACTGTCAAGCGCCAGTGCGTTGATTGACTCCAGAGGGGGGAATAAAAATTGTCAGTCAGTAGGTGGCGAAATCTCCGTCCGCCGCATTGTTCAATTCAGTTGAGTTTATATAGCGCCACACAAAGTTGTCTCAGGACACTTTACAGCAGTGCTTCTCAATTATTTTCGGTTACGCCCCCCCCCACCGCCCCCCAAGGAAGAAGAAAACATTTCGCCCCCCCCCACCAACTCTTCGCTGCGACTGTAAATAGTATAATTTGTCTAAAAATTGTTATAAATACACCTCTGCATAACATTGTACCCTTATTAACATTATTTAAATAAAGAAGGAAATATAGATCAATTTACAACAAAGATTACTAACATTGTTAACAGAAAAGTCAAGTCAACTTTATTTATAGAGCACATTTAAAACGTTGGTTACGTACTGTAACCCCAGATTGTATTTCGTATAGTCTTCGCCCTTTAAGGTAAGGCTGTCGCTGATGGGTTTATCCCAATATGCGAAGTATTGCACTGAAAAATTTAGTCCACGCCCACCTGCTGTGTGGGCCCCACCCGGTCCGTATAAATTACGTTAAGAGCGGGAAATTGGCTCCAAAATAGCTTTTTCTTCAGCCATTTAGGAGCCAGTGAGGCCCGCCGCTTAAAGGGCTACGCCTATACTCATAGAATCTGGTGTTACAGTACGTAACCAACGTTCTATTTCGTATAGGCTTCGCCCTTTAAGGCTGTCGCTGATGGGTTAAGGGCGAAGCGGATGTTGTCCTCGCCTCACTGGGTCCATTCAAACACCGTATGAAGCAGAAGCTTGCCCAAAAAACGTCTTGTCACTCAGCTCCCCATGTGCATAATTACGCATTGCGTAATTGTGTGCCATGCGCATACGCATGTTGTGTAACTATGCGTTCTGAATGCATGAACGCCCCGGAAACTTCAACGGGGAGGGGGAAAAAAATGCTGAAAAGAGTCATGAACCAACCGGTTTACGGCTGAACAGTATGAACAGATTAATAATAACAGGAGAGCTGATTATTAATCAAATGAACTGATTGGTAACAATAGTCGTGAACTGATTAGTGATAATAGAACCAAAATAACAATCACAATTTATGATTGATAACAACATCTCACACTGTAATGCATGCAGACAGATGTGAGTAAAACAGAGTTCCACGAAACAACATTATTCA